AAAAAAACAGATTCCCGTCCTGTTCTCTTGCATCTTATGAGGATTTTCAGTGAGTTCATTAGTGTCAGTATTGACTTCCACTGCTGGAAAATCAAACCTCGCAGTTAGTGAGAGGATCATCTCTTCAACCATAACAGCCATCGAGGCAGCAAAAAGGTTCACGGGTTGTTGTCCCTGTAAATTCATCTGAAAATGAAAGAGTTAACAGTAAGTGTCAGATTGTCAAATCCAGTACGTGGTTAACATGTCAAGTGTCTGTGTGTCGCATCAGTGTGACAGCACTCAGTGGATTAAACCTTTTATAACTTTGATTTTTCCTGTTGTGAAAACCGCAGCTGGCAGGCAGCTGGAAGCGGAAACATTAACAATGACTCTTTTTGTGCTTTTGTCTGTGGAGCCGGTCGGACGAGAAGTCAAAGCGTACGAACGCTTTCATAGAACAGCATCACATTTATTAGGAGTTTATGGAGTTTATGCAGTTTATGGTAAATGGCCTATATTTGTATAACGCTCTACTAGTCCCTAAGGACCCCAATGTCACCCTCAAACTGAACACTCCTTCAGTTTCAGATAAGAGTGAACTTATACTTAAGTTCAGGCCCGTCCTTGCTCCTGTTTTACCTTCAGCTGGTTTACATAAATCTGCTCTCAACACTCATCTGCTTCCAAGGAAGGATCTCATCCTGCTGCTGGACTCTAACATCAGCCTTTACCTGCTCTGTGGATGTTGAGACCTGAACGGTCACTTAAACCAGGACCAGGAACACTGAGTCAGACCAGCTGCAGCCTGATGTGGAGTCAGCAGGATTAGACTCTCACAGCAGGGTCGTGTTTTAGTGTTCAGAAAGCTCATTTTCTTTTTGTTGCAGTGCACACCGCTCACCCCACAGAAAACATGAAACACTGAACGCTGCGTTTATTTGGGCCTCAGCAGGCGAGAAAAGATCCACAGGTGCTTTGTGTCCTGAATCATCCACAGCTGTGGAGCTGTGTGGCCTGCTGCTGTTTCTCACTTTGCTGCTGTTTGTCTGTTCAAACGAGCAGCGACTCGTGGCCCAAAGAGTCATCCCTGCAAGTTTTTGTAATGTGGACAGTTATACGAGGCTGACACAGCAGCTGAGCCGTCTCATTACTTAAGAGACGCCTGCTGAGCCGTTTAAGTCTGAACCGTTTTAGAATTACAGACAGTTTTAAACAGTTCTTATATTTCAGAGGCTGAACTTTCACTTCTAGGTTTGATTATTAAAGATGAGAAACATACACAACAGGGATCAAAGATTTAGCATAGTTAGCATGTTGAAAACACACTCAGGATTCACACAGCTCCTGTGGGTAAATACTGTGTTTTTATTTATTGTATATCATCACGCTTCATTATAAACAGCCTCCATCTCTGCTGGATGTCATCACAAAATATCCCACAGACTCTTCTGGAAGGACACAGAGACTTTCCCACGCCAGCTAAGACATATAATCAACACTGCGTCTGCCCCGGGGGCTCTAACCTCAGCCAGAAAACATGCAGGGGTGTGTGTGTGGGTGTGTGTGTGGGTGTGGGGGAGGGGGGTTCGTCAGATGTCACCTCAACTGACTTCTTTCAATCTGTAGGACTGATTACTCCAGAATGACTGAAGCACTCACCCTGATACCTTTTGTAGGAAGCTCATTTCTCAGAATTATTTCCTATATTTATCATCTAGATCCTCACTATCAGCAGACAATAATATGTAATATTTAATCTTCAGTGATGCATAATATTTTTTATAATCACGTTTGTGGTGGCTGTCCTGTGAGGAACCACGTCTTTCTGAGTAAACAGCTGTTAATGAGCTCAGAGTATCAGGCCAACACTCTCATTTAAAACTATATTAAACATTTGACTCATTTAAATATCACAGCTGGATTTAAAGGCCTGAGCAGTGATGCAGGTAACTGTCAGCATCTACAGAGAGATTACAACCGAATGTAACATGAAGGCAGTGTTTTAGTACTTTACTTGAACTTCAAATCAAATCAAATCAAAATGTATTTATATAGCACATATTAAAACAACAGTGTTGACCATAGGCTTCACAGTCAGTAAAAGCATGAGACAGTTAAAACAAACAATAAAAGAGGACAACAAACAATAGGTAACAACACAACAAGCTGGACCAGCCAACTAGACAGAATCAAAAGCCAAAGTAAAAAAATAAGTTTTAAGATGTGATTTAAAAGACTGGATCGACTCGGCAGTACGAATATGAACAGGGAGGTTATTCCAGAGTCTGGGTGCCACGGATGCAAAGGCCCGGTCACCTCTCGACTTCATTCGAGTCCTAGGTTGTGCTAGGAGCCTGTGATTGGACGATCTAAGTGCTCTGTTGGGATTGTATGAGTGGAGTAGTTCAGAAAGATAGCTGGGCGCTAAATTATTCAGAATATTAAAAGTGAACAAAATAATTTTAAAATCTATGCGATATTTAACAGGGAGCCAAGGTAATTTGGCTAAAATTGGAGTTATGTGTTCATGGATTCTCGTACCTGTTAAAAGACGCGCAGCTGCATTTTGAATTAACTGAAGCCGGCAAAGAGAGGAGTGTTGGAGGCCTGAGTAGAGGGAGTTACAGTCGTCCAATCTGGATGTAATAAATGCGTGGATAAGCATTTCAAGGTCCTTTAAAGGAAGGAACAGCTTTGCTTTGGAAATCTGACGCAACTGGTAAAAGCTGTTGTTTTTACCACAGTTTGTCAAGTTTAAAAGAGCCATCCAGGAACACTCCGAGGTTTCTTACAGTGGGCGAGAGATGGCTAGCGAGAGGGCCTAGGGCATCAGCTAACTGGTCTAGCGGAGTGTGACTACCAAAGACTTTGATTTCGGTCTTATTCTCGTTCAATGTAAGAAAATTATGTGATAACCAAATTTTAACTTCATGCAAACAGTTGAACAGAGGTTGCAAAGAAGCAGTCGCATCGGATTTCAAAGGTGAATAAATCTGGATATCATCGGCATAACAGTGAAAGGAGATGTTGTATTTTCTAAAAATTAATCCCAACGGCAACATGTACAAAGAGAAGAGAGCAGGGCCGAGCACGGACCCTTGAGGCACACCACAGTAAATAGGGGCAGAAGCCGAGGAGTGTTGCCCCATAGCAACAGAGAACGACCTCTCTGAGAGGATTTAAACCAAGATAAAACCGTACCTTGGCTGTTTAATGAAACTGGACCTGGCAGCAGTTCCCTCGTCATCATCACAGCTTCCATTACTGACAAGCTGAGCAAGTTATTAAAAGTTTCATATATCACATGTGCTGGATGCTGCGTTTAGTAAGAAGAAACTGTTCTGATTACAAAATCTGATCATCAACCATGACTGACTGTGTCGACGCCTTATGCTCAAACACGGCGTTCTTTATGGAAGAGCTGCGGTTAGCTCAGCAATAAAACACCCAGCTCTCACTGCCAGTACCCACAAGAAGTCAAGAAGTAGTAAAAATAGACTCTCCAGCTGCACCACCTTCAAGCATCCACCAGGAACTCCAAGCAGGCGAAGTACTCGGAGCGGATTTTCATGTGTACAATTATATGTGACACTCCAGTATAACCTGTAGGAAAACCCCAGCTCACATGCAACGAACCGGGTGATACAAGCATGCCCTCCCCCACCCTTTCACTCCAGAGAGTTCCTGAACCCAAGCCTTGAGACAAGCCTGTATCTTTTAGGCTCCCTCCCAATCAGAGAGGTGATATTCATATACCAAAAACCAGTTTTAGCCACCATCAGTCCACTGTGGCCTCCACTCTGCATCTGGCCATTATAAATAGAGCTCTGATATCAGGATTCATCATAATAATGAGCAGAAACTAATTTGTATCCAGTGGGGATAAAAACATGAATGTGTTTCAATGTGAACCATGATGTTTAAACAATTTAAAGCAGTTTAGCATGTTTTAAAACCTTATCCACATCCACATCCACATTATCCACTCAGTCATCATTTACCCAACGTTATTTTTCATAAATACAATGTTGGTATAAATGACATATCAGCCTTAAAACCAGAGCAAACAGAAGAGCAGAGAATAAAAAAGGCAGATGAAAGTATCTGCTGTCTGTTATCAACAACATTTAATACAAGCTGAGAACAGCAACATAGACGCAAACACAGTGACAGAGAATCCAGAAGCCAGAACAGAAACGATCACACCGACTCCATCGCAGGACTCGAACAGCTGATCTGAAACACGTTACAGAAGCCTGCTGTTACAAAGATAGTTTGTAAACACACTAATTATAACCTTTAGCTATCAAATCAGAGTCTCACCTGGAACGTGGATCTCTTCTTCAGTCACATGGCCGATCTCCTCCTGTGTGGCCACGCAGTGGAAGAGGTTGGTGTTTGTCCTGGTCACCGTGGTGAGGAGGGTGATGTCATAGCGGCCGTCTCTGTGTGACACCTGTGGCTGCTCAGCAGGAAGGATGTTTCCATGGCTGTCCCTCCACTCTACTTTAGGCTTCGGAGCTGCACCTCTGACCTCACACTTCAGCTGCACCCTGTACTCCGTGATGTTCAGGATCCCAACAAACGGCTTCGGAGCTGCACCTGTGAACACAGCATGAAGCTACAGCACAAGGAGGGTGATGTTTCAGCATTCACACTCATCCATCCCTCAGGGGTGAGGTCAGTCAGGTTGCAGGGTGGATGAGATTCATCCTCAGATGCAGGCTCTGCATGCTGTGGGGGTGTCTTGGTTGACACGCCTCTGCAACAGTGCATGGAAGTCGGGGAGGGACCGGCAGACTGGAGGAAGGTGGTTCCATTTAAAAGGTATTTGGGTTACAGCAGCGGTCTCCAACCTTTTTTGCGCCACGGACCGGTTTATGCCCGACAATATTTTCA